GCGCCAGCCCTCAATTAACTGGGGATGGTTTGGGGCTCACTGCAGGCGCAGGGCGCCAGCCCCCCTGACACTCTGAGGGGATCGCCGCCCCAACCCAAACCCTAAACTTTTTGATGATTTTTTCCTCTCAATTTTTTGTCTAGAATCGATTAATTTCTTCCAAAATTCCTTAGGTTCATAAACCCAACACAATTAATAAAAAAAAACACTCAAGAACAACACTCATTCGCAAGACCCTCACCTCATGAACTCAACAAAACTCCATTGTTAAAGAATGAAGTACAAAACCTCAAGAACCTGATCAAGAATCTCAACATACAGAATCTCATGGACAAATTCATAAATGAAAATTCATGATTGGTGTGAGGGTGAACAAATCCAACACTATGAGAGCTTACATACCTCAAAAGAACCAAATTCATGGCGGTTTCCCCAAATTCTTAAAGAACTCTTGAAACCTCCTATTTTCTCCTCTTGAGCTGTTCCCTAATTTTCTTAAATGTTTTAGAATGAATGAAAAAATGATCTCAATCACTTTAGATCCCTAATTGGGTGAAAAAAACATGGAGGCCTAGTGGGGTAGGTAAAAGATCAAAATACCCCTCCTTAAAATAGATGAAATGTCTTAACTAGAGAGGTTGCACTCAAACAGACATAACTCCTTCATCCGAACTCAAAATTTAGCAAACTCAGTGGTGTTGGAAAGAGGACTCAACGACCTTCGATCTGATACCTTAAAGGCTACCTAACTTGTAACACCCCGTATTCGAAACAGGCCAAAAATGCAGATTTTGAGAAGTTGCAGGTGCAACCCACGGTTGCCAATTCCACGGACCGTAGGTCAGACCACGGCCCATGCTGGTGGTCCGTGGTTCACCACTGCAACCCCTCCCCAGCCAAGCTCAGAAAATTGGCTAAGTCCCGACTCACGGACAGACCCACGGTCCGTAGATCAGACCACGGTCCGTGGTCTGTGTCCGTGGATCGAGACTTCCCTTACCCAGCCTCTGACACAAACTACGGTCAACCAGCACGGACCGTCATTCGATCCACGGTCCGTAGGTCTGACCGTAGATGAGGGTCAACAGCTAGTTAGCTGAAAATTATTGATGGATCAACTTCAGATGATCATAAATTTTAGCACAAAAGGAATTGTGTGTCCCATTACCTATGGTATGATAGATAATTGAATTATCTAACCAATGCCACCGATTTTGCTGAATTCCGACCTCCGAGTAAAAAGTTATGCTTGTTTTAGTGAAGCCCTGTCGGGCAGACTCGACCTACGGACCCAATCGAAGGACCGTCGATTGATTGACGGCCCGTCAGTCCAAACCGTCAGTCACTCCGACAGCAGTTAATTCAGGGGTCTTTTGGTCTTTTCCTATTTCGTTTAACCCCTAAGATACGTCGTTTAAACCCTAAATCATGAGATTTTAATCAGTTTAAACCTAGAAACATAACTAGAACTTACCTAAGTCAAATCATTAATCAAAACTTAGAAAATTAGAAGCAAGAGAGGAGAAAAAGGTCAAGAACCCTAGTTCAAGAACGAAGCAAGGTTCCATCAGTTCCAGCCCAGAAATCAAAGGATTTCTCCGTGAAATTCGTCACCAGGTATGTGGGATTCCACTAATGGGTTCCTTTCGCCCATTAGATCCCTAGAATTCAGTCAGATTCTTGATTCCATGATTATGAACAGACCTAGAGTTCCTAGAATTACAACAGATCATCATGAATTAGTTATTAACATGTTCCAAATCAGATTATCATGTTACTACATCGTTTCTCGCATGAACTTCAGATCCCTAGCTATGTATTTCTTTAGTTCTTGAATTACACATGCTAGGTCAGATAACTCAGTTATTCAGTTATACATGCCTCAGTTATTAATGCATCATTATCAGATTAATTGTTGCATTCTCAGTTTGCATGTTCAGTTCAAGCTATCCAGTA